CACACACACACACACACACACACACACACACACACACACACACACACACACACACACACACACACACACACACACACACACACACACACACACACACACACACACACACACACACACACACACACACACACACACACACACACACACACACACACACACACACACACACACACACACACACACACACACACATACGCACACACACACAAACACACACACACACACACACACACACACACACACACACACACACACACACACACACACACACACACACACACACACACACACACACACACACACACACACACATATGATAAACACACACAGATATGGTGTCCATATCTAGTCAAGGATATGACTAAAATGGAAAAGGTTCAAAGATTTGCCACCAGACTAGTACCCGAGCGGAGAGGTATGAGCTACGAGGAGAGACTGCGGGAATTGAACCTCACTTCGCTGGAAGGCAGAAGAGTTAGGGGGGACATGATCACTACATTCAAGAATCTCAAGGGAATTGATAGGGTAGATAAAGAGAGGCTATTTAACACAAGGGGCACAAGCACAAGGGGACACAGGTGGAAACTGAGCGCCCAAATGAGCCACAGAGATATTAGAAAGAACTTTTTTAGTGTCAGAGTGGTTGACAAATGGAATGCATTAGGAAGTGATGTGGTGGAGGCTGACTCCCTACACAGTTTCAAGTGTAGATATGATAGAGCCCAATAGGCTCAGGAATCTGTACACCTGTTGATTGACGGTTGAGAGGCAGGACCAAAGAGCCAGAGCTCAACCCCTGCAAACACAACTAGGTGAGTACACACACACCCCTACATGTGCACGACAGAGGCAAGGAAGAAGCGCAGGGAGATAGGAGTAAACCAGGAAATTACAGCCAACAACACAACAGTCCCAGAGACAAGAGGGGAACCCACAACCAGCATCGCAGCAACACCACCACTCTCCTCTGCATAGCAACCCTACCTACCCTTCATTTTACCTGCCCCCACTCAAATGCTCACTCAGCTCTCCCTCCCCCCTACCCCATTCTGTCCCTGTCAACCCTTCCCCCATTCCCACTATGTCCCCCCCTCCCCCCCTTTCACTCCTGTCTCTCCTCCACCTTCATCCCATACCTTCCCTATCTCTCCTCCCCCCCTCACCCCGTAACCTCCATGACCCCCCTATCTTCTTACCCCATATCCTCCCTCTATCCCAATTTCCCTTGAACCCCCACCCTCCAACCCACAATCCACTGAGACCCTGTTAACCACCTCACAGATCTTCACACCTATTGAACAGCTTCCTCCATCCGCAGAATGCTCACCAAGAAGGGGACAAGAGAATGAACAGAAGAAAGTGAGCTTCAAGGCAATGTACACTAACATAGATGGGGTTACGAACAAAAAAAGTGAACATGGATAATGGGCACTAGAAGAAAACCCAGACATAATAGCACTCACAGAAACAAAGCTAATGAAAACCTTAACAAATGCAGTATTTCCACAGGACTATTATGCAGTGAGGAAAGAAAGAGAAGGAAGAGGAGGAGGTGGTGTAGCTTTGCCTATAAGAAAAGGCTTAAGTTTCAAAGAGATGGTTGTTCAGAGCTGTGAAGATTTCAGTGACTACATAACAGGTACCATAGCAACTGGAGGATAAAAAATTATAATAGTAGTCATATATATAGCCCCTCACCGAACGACAGAAGACCAGACAGGAATATAATAAACCAACATGGCCACCATTAATATAACAGAGAGAGCAGTGTCTGTAGACAGCAGGAACATATCCAGACAACTAATCATGGGAGACTTCAACCACGGGAAGACAGATTGGGAGAACAGAGACCCACTTGGAGGAGCTGGACGTAGCAATAAGAATCTTTCTAAGTCACTACATCTAGGGACCGACAAGAATGAGAGGAGAGGATGAACCAGCCTTACTTAATCTGATATTTACCCTAAATGAGTCGGATATAAGGGATGTTAAGTTTGAAGACCCCTTGGGAATGAGTGATCACAGAGTATTGATCTTTGAGTACCTGGTAGAGCTAGAAATTATCTCCCCCAAAAAAGAACTGGGAAACAAAGGGCTGGCATACCAAAAGGGAAATTATGAGGAGATGAGAAAATTCCTAGGGGATATACCAAGGGACACAGAACTCAGAAGTCTGTACAAGACATGATGGACTATGTCACCCAAAAGTGTCAAGAGGCAGTAAACAGGTTTATCCCGGCTCGACAGGAAAAACCCAGAAGCAAAAGAAGAATCCGTGGTTTATTAGTGAATGTATAAAAGCAAAGGAAATGAACAAAAGGGCGTGGAGGAACTTCCGAAATAACAGAACACCAGACAGTCAAGAGAGATACCAGAGAACCAGGAACGAGTATGTTAGTGTGAGAAGAGAAGCTGAGAAAATGTACGAAAATGATATAGCTAATAAAGCCAAGACCGAGCCAAAGCTAATACACAGTCACATCAGGAGGAAAACAATGGTGAAGGAACAGGTGATGAAATTTAGAACAGGTGAGGACAGGTACACAGAGAACGACAAAGAGGTGTGAGAAGAACTCAACAAGAGGTTCCAGGAGGTCTTTACAATAGAACAAGGAAAAGTCACTGTGCTAGAAGAGGTGGCAGTATACCAGGCGGCCTTGGAAGGGTACGAAATTACAAGAGATGAGGTCAAGAGGCACCTGATGAATCTGGACGTGAGATAGGCTGTTGGTTTCACCATGGGTATTGAAAGAGCGTGCGGGAGCGCTTTGCTTGCCACTCTCCATAGTGTACATAACGTCACTGGAAACGGGAGACCTACCAGAAATATGGAAGACGGCTAATGTTGTCCTAATATACAAAAAGGGTGACAGACAAGAGGCACTGAACTACAGGCTAGTGTCCTTAACTTGTATACCATGCAAGGTGATGGAGTAGATCATGAGAAAAAACCTAGTAACACATCAGGAGAGAAGTGATTTCTTGACAAATCACCAACATGGGTTCAGGGAGGGTAAATCTTGCCTTACTGGCTGAAAAGAATTCTACGCTCAGGTGACAAAGATTAAGTAAGAAAGAGAAGGATGGGCGGACTGCATTTTTTTGGACGGTCTGAAAGCTGTTGACACAGTACCCTATAAAAGGCTGATGCCTAAGCTGGAGAAACAGGCAGGAGTAACTGGTAGGGTGCTCCAGTGGATAAGGGAGTACCTAAGCAATAGGAAGCAGAGAGTTACAGTGAGGCGTGGGACCTCAGATTGGCGTGAAGTCACCAGTGGAGTCCCATAGGGCTTTGTACTCGGAACTATCCTGTTTCTGATACACGTAAATGATCTCCCAGTGGGTATAGACTCATTCCTCTCTATGTTTGATGACGACGCCAAAATTATGAGAAGGATTAAGGCAGAGGAGGACAGATTGAGGCTTCAAAAAGACCTGCAGGAATGGGTCACCCATCCTGCAAAAGACATGCAGGAATGGAATATATTTAATAAATTAATTGGAATTTCTATTACCTTAATAGGCTAAGGATAATAGGAATTCCGATTAATTTATTAAATATACTTGTATGTGGCTCACTGAGCACTTGCCTGAATTCTTTTAGGACTCTACTGAATGCCTCGTCAGGACCAGGAGATTTGTTTCGATAAAACTTCTCAATCTGTATAATTGGTATCTCATTGTCAGGGAAGGGAAACCTGTTAGATTTAGCGAGGTCTGCCTATACTAACCTCTAACTTTCCCCAGAATGCAACCCAAAACAGTTATTTAACTCCCCAGGTATCTATTTATTGTTAGGTGAACGGGTGCACAAGGTGAAAGAAAACATTTTCCAAATGATGACCCAACCCCACACCAGAAAATTAAGAAACGACGACGTTTCGGTCCGTCGTGAATCATTATCAACCATTATCATTGACTTGACAATGTTCCAGGACGGACTGAGACGTCGTCGATTCTTTATTTTCTGATTTGGGATTTGTCCATAATATCTTCAGCCACGTTACTGTAACTCATCGTCCCCTTTTCTAAATGCTTCTGCCCTGCTGTTGATACTGAATCCTGGACTTGTCCGGTGTGACCTGACACGCTACATTACTTCATAAGGTAAATTTTAGAAACCAGGAAAGAGTTGTTTAAACTGCTCCTAATATGCATTATTAAACCTTGAGTCCCTGGTAATATTATTATTTCTAGCACAGCTCTTCCAGATGATAGATGATAGCAAACATAGATTCTCTATTATACCTATTTCGTATTGGTTATCATTTTCTCTTTATCTTCGGACCAAATAAAAAATATTATTGTTTCTGGCGGACTCGTAACAACTGTGCCAGCTGGGAGCTACTCGATCACTTCCAAGACATTTCTGCCTTTGAGTTACTTGTTTTATATGTCCAGTCTATTCCTCCGAGTTTAAAGTTTTAAAAATAAACACACGCATTACGGCGTCTTGTTGCCTTTTTTATCTATTTCAAGATAGGTTTACTGCCTAATTTATTTAGACCAGGTAATCTAAATGAGTTTCATGTTTAGATCATTTATTTATTATATATCTTATTTTTTGTATATCCGATTTGATCTCTCTTTTACATTGCACTTTTGATCATCTTGCATATAGATAGCAATACCACCTCTTTTCTATCTGTTTTGTCAACATGAAAAAAAGATAACCCTTGATTTGGTCCTCGACCAATAGGTCAATCAAGTCGGTATTCATTCATGTTTCAGTGAGTGTTATTATATCTAATTGTTAAAAACACAAAAAATGATCTTAGGTCATCCATCTTGTTTCTCACCCTTCTTTACTTAGCATAGTACACATGTAGATACCTATTCTGTCCCTTGAAATATAAGCTTCAGTTCTTGCATTCACAGTGTTCTTGCTAATGTAAGGGGTCCCAGTTATCTATGAATAGTTCTGCATTACTTATGCAATGCTTTCATGCTGCCGAGGAACTGAATACACGGTTAAGCAATAACTCAATTCTTATTCACAGATGAAGTTAACGACAGTGTGTGTATTGGTGGCAGTTCTGGTGGTAGGCACCAATGGAGACCTGGCTTCTCCTGAGAGGTCTTATAAGATCCTCATGCTCCTCCCCGTCTCTACCAATAGCCACAGGACCCTCTTCATGTGCCTGGCCGAGGCTCTAGCTGACCGAGGACACAAGGCAAGACCTGGTGGTCTGGTTCTTTTGGTACCATATAATATCAACAAAATGACTTAATTATTTTGCAACAGCTATTAAATTTGGAAAATATTTACAGTACTCTGATAAAGTAAATGGAGACGATTTGTTCATTATAAATACTGATAATCTATATTTATAAGAGAGAATATCCATGTTTGTCCAAGATTAAAAGCCAGACGCTTGGGGTTAGCTACACAGAACTACGCATCCGTGGAGCACTGTACCAACACACAATATAGGTAGTACACTCTACCAACACACAATACAGTAGTGCAATGTACCAACATACAATATAGGAGTGCACTATACCAATATACATTGCAGTAGTGTACTGTATCAACACACAGTACAGTAGTGCACTGTACCGACATTCAAAAAAGTGGTGAACTGTTCCAACGTATAATACAGTAGTGCATTGTACAACATACAATTCAGTAGTGCACTGTACGAACACAAAATACTGTAGTGCACTGTGTTGTGCACAATATTCAATATAATACATGCAATACATACAATACAGCAGTGCACTGTACCAACATACAATACCGTTGTGCACTGTCCATCATACAACTGGGTAGTGCACTTTACCAACATGGAAGACAGTAGTGCATTGTATGAACATATAATACAGTAGTGCACTGTAGAAACATGTAATACTGTAGTGCACTGTAACGACATACACTACAGTAGTGCAGTGTACCATCACACAATACAGTAGTGCACTGTACCACCGCACAATACAGTAGTGCACTGTATACACATAAATTACAGTAGTGCATTGTACCAAAATACACAACAATAGTGCATTGAACCAAAACACAATGCAGTAGTGCACTGTACCAATATACAATACAGTAATGCACTGTACCAACATATACTACAGTAGTGTTCTGTACCACATACAATACAGTAGTGCATATACCAACACACAATACAGTAGTGAAATGTACCAACAGAAAATTCAGTTGTGAACAGAACCAACATACAATACAGTAGTGCACTGTACCAACAAACAATTCAGTAGTGCACAGCATCAACATACAATACAGTAATGCACTGTACCAAATACAATACAGTCGCGCACTGTTTCAACACACAATACACTAGTGCACTGTATCAACAAACTATACAGTAATGCACTGTACCAACAAACAATAGAGTAGTGCACTCTACCAAAATACAATTGAGTAGTGCACTGAACCTACTTACAATACAGTAGTGCACTGTACCAACATACAATACAGTAGAACACTGAAGAAACATACAATACAGTAGTGTACTGCCAACACACAATACAGTCGTGCACTGTTTCAACACACAATACAGTAGTGCATTGTACAAACATACAATTCAGTTGTGCACTGTACCAACATGCATTAGAGTAGTACACTGTACCAACATACAATCGAGTAGTGCACTGTAATAACACACGGTACATAACACTGTACCAACACACAATACTGTAGTGCACTGTCTCAACACACAATACAGTAGTGCACTGTACCAACATTCAAAACAGTAGTGCACTGTACCAACATTCAATTCAGTAGTGCACTGTTCCAACGTACAATACAGTAGTGCACTGTTCCAACATAAAATACAGTAGTGCACTGTACCAACATACAATTCAGTAGTGCCCTCTACCAGTATACAATGCAGTAGGGCTCTGTACCAACATACAATACAGTGGTGCATTGTACCAACAAACAATACAGTTGTGCACTGTACCAACATATAATACAGTAGTGCACTGTACCAACATACAATACAGTGGTGCTCTATAGCAACATAGAATACAATAGTACACTGTACCAACATTAAATACAGTAGTGCACTGCAACAACAAACAATTCAGTAGTGCACTGTACCAACAAACAATACAGTAGTACACTCTAACAACGCACAATTCAGTAGTGCACTGCATCAACCTATAATACAACAGTGCACTGTACTAACATTCAATACAGTAATGCACTGTAACAACATTCAACTCAGTAGTGCAATGTACCAACATAAAATACAGTAGTGCACTGTACCAACATACTATTCAGTAGTGCCCTCTACCAGTATACAATGCAGTAGTGCTCTGTACCAACATACAATACAGTGGTGCATTGTACCAACATACAATACAGTAGTGTACTGTAACAACATACAATACAGTAGTGTACTGTAACAACATACAATACTCTAGTGCACTGTACCAACACACAGTAGAGTAGTGCACTGGACAAAAAACAGTGCAGTAGTGCTCTGTACCAACACAGAATACATTGGTACACTGTACCAACATACAATACAGTAGTACACCATACCAACATATAAAACACTGTACCAACAAATAATACAGTAGTGTATTATACCGACATACAATAGAGTAGTTCACTGTACCAACATACAGTACAGTAGTGTATTGCGAACACACAATACAATAGTGCACTGTACCAACACACAATACAGTCGTGCTCAGTACCAACATACAATACAGTTGTGCACTGTTCCAACACACAATACAGTAGTGCACTGTACCAACATACAATACATTAGTGCACTGTTCCAACACACAATCCAATAGTGCACAGTACCAACAAGTAACACAGAAGTACGCTGTACAAACACGCAATACTGTAATGCACTATACCAACACACAATACAGTATTGCACGCTACCATCACACAATACAGCAGTGCACTGTACCAACATACAATACAGTAGTGCACTGAAACAACACAGCACAGTCCCTAACCAACCACCACTAATCACCCAACAACACACTTCGCATTTTCCAGACTCCTCGTCACTAACCATGCTACAACCTCAATAATCAATCCACTCTCACAACTCTGACCTGTACGAAGATATCCACTTGCATTGAAAATTCAATAGAAAAGACACTGGACCGACTCCTTAATAAATTTAAACATTGTTAACCATGCCTTAGACTGACTCAACACCACACTCTCCTACAGTAAGTAAACACAGCTTCCTGTGGTATAGACATGTTGATGGAACACATACATGCACATGCAGAGTGACAGTCTGAATGTACATTAATTGGAAAACCACATCATGTATGGTAAGTAGAACACCACATCATGTATGGTAAGTAGAACACCACATCATATATGGTAAGTAGAACACCACGTGTATCGTGAGTGGATACCACTTGTATCGGGAGTGGAATACCACATGTATAGCAAGTGGAACACCACCTGTATCATTAATGGAACTTCACATATATTGCGAGTGGAACACTACATGTATCATGAATGGAAAACCATAGTGTATGAGGTGTTGAGCATCACATATTGTATGATGAGTGGAACACCCAGTGCCGTACAGTTTTGGAACATAATGTTATATAATGAATGGAACTTCACATGTTGATTGGTGAACAAAACAAATTGTATATCGAGTAGACGATTACATGTTGTATGGTGAGAAAAATACCACGTTGTGTATTGTAAGGTACACCAAATGTTGTATGATGAGCTGGGCTCCTTATGTTATATGGTAAGATTACACACACTGGAGTACAGACACTGTCATCCAAGCCTGTACACCCAGGGAAGCCTCGGAAGCGACCCCGCCATAAGTGAATCAAGCGACCCTGCCAGGTTCCTCAGGCCAATATTATGTGGTATTTAGTAACGAATTCCACAAGCTTCCTTGTACCACCTCAGTTACCCTCCAATCACGTCAGTCGTGGGTGTAGGTTTGTGCTTAACCCTCACTTTTTTTAATTACTAGCTTTTTACTTTTTTGTGCAGGTGAGATGAAAATAGTTTCTATCAACGAAGCTCACAACTCCTTTCGGAAGCAGGTGCAGTGAAGGTCTTGAATTATTCCTCAGATCTCTGCGCAGTTCCCAGAGCTGCCGCCGCTGTTAGACCTGGAGAGGAACATGAGTCTGGGGCTGATCAATACCCACTTTAGTATTGGTATACCACTGCCCCTCCTGCCTTCAGAGGTGGAGGTGGGCGGTATGCACTGTCGACCAGCCAGCCCTCTGCCCGAGGTGAGTTGTCCTGCCCTCACAGGTGGAGGTGGGCGGCATGCGCTGTCGACCCGCCAGCTCTCTGCCCCAGGTGAGTTGTCCTGCCCTCACAGGTGGAGGTGGGCGGCATGCACTGTCGACCCGCCAGCTCTCTGCCCCAGGTGAGTTGTCCTGCCTTCAGAGGTGGTGATGGGCGGCATGCGCTGTCGACCCGCCAGCTCTCTGCCCCAGGTGAGTTGTCCTGCCCTCACAGGTGGAGGTGGGCGGCATACACTGTCGACCCGCCAGCCTTCTGCTCCAGGTGAGTAGTCTTGCCCCAGCCCGTCCTCCAAAAATGAGGAGGTAAATGTAACAGCCCCATAAGTGCAATTATGTACTAAGTATGATAGTCAGGATTTGTACTTATATACACTTAGTGTTAAATCGTAGTCAAATATATTGTCAATATTTGAGTTTACCTGAAAAGCTGAATAGAAAACCACGACCTAACCTAACCGTCTTTGTTTTTGAAGATAAGCATTTTATTGCGTCTTAATTACAACTACGATATAATCTATAGCTATATTGATATTACAGTTTTATAAAACAAGTAAAACAAAACTATAATTTTTAAATAAATTGTAAAAGTAACTCAGGATATTTTCAAAGTTTTTATAAAATCTCTATTGTTTAACTAAACTGAAATAGAAATTCCTGATATTTAAAACTTGTGTATAGCAAACTGATCTTTAAAACTTCATCCTAAAATTCTGAGTGTGTTAACAGAAAACGAGGATAAATAAATGGGGAGGTAAATGTAACAGCCCCATAAGTGCAATTATGTACTATGTATGACAGTCAGTAAATGCACTTATTACACTTAGTATTAAAACGTACTGTCATTTCGGAGGATGGGTTGCCTTGCCCTCACAGGTGGTGGTGGGCAGCATGCACTGTCGACTTGCCAGCCCTCTGCCCCAGGTGAGTTGTCCTTCGCCTCTGATCCAACTAAGTAAAATGTCTTGTTATATATTGTGTTAAGTGAAGCTGTATGTTATGTAATGTCATTGGGGGTAATCTGTCTTGCCCGAGTTTTCTCACTGACATGTTAATTAATGTTAATATCATTTCTCCAACGATAAGCTTAATATACGGAGAAAGGATATAAAATTAAATAAAATTTGAAGTAAGACAAAATAAAGAAATAGTGTATCTGCTGTTGAAGTTGTTCTCGTGGGTCTAGCTTGTGTGTGTATAACTTAAGGAAGTATAGGGTCAGAGTGACTGTTGCTCCCACTTTCCTGCTGGTAAAATCCCTTATTAGTATCTTGTAATAAAGATTACAATATCTGCCCTGTATAAACTTGCACAAAAACATGAATACAAAAAAAATTAGTCTGTTTATTTAGTTAAAATAATTTTTGATATGTTGTAATTTCAGCTGTTTCATCCAGCATATAACTATTTTCCTCCTTTTTAAGTCCAATTCATTCTCTTGATCTCAGTTAGTTTAATTATTAGTTTTTAAGTGTTTTCCCACATCATACCAGAAACGCTATGTCTTTAGGCATAGTATGTACTAGTACTACCTAGAAATCCAACATTCTGTTTGTAACTCATTTTGTATGTATGTACTTTTACCTGAATAAACATTATTATTGTTATTATTAATATTAGTATTATTAATAATAATGCAAACTGCAGCAAGTCACTTGTAAGTAAAATAATCGTATAGCAGAATGTTGACAAAGATTTGTTAATAATGATGACCAGACCACACACTAGAATGTGAAGGGTTTGGTCATCATACTTTAGCCACGTTATTGTGACTCATCGCCTGCATTTGTTAATAGTCTATCATTTAAGTTAGAAAGATTAATGTGAATATTTATTACTATAATTGTTATATACACAAAATTATGTAAATTAGTATCATTAGTTGTCCCACACTAGTTGTCCCCAGGGAATTTTATCTATGGATGTCTACTCCTGTAGGCATCCGTCAGTCTCAGGAAACTATGGAGTTGCGCTGTAGTTGTCGGTCTGGGGTGGCCTCTCCAGGGCGCAAAATTATATAACAACTTAGTTATACCGAGTTGGGTGCTTTGGCCTCTTCCTAAGCACCTCCACACCAACTTAATTATTTGTTATTAGGAATCAATATTTGCTGTAAGAATAAAATGGGCTCCCAGTAATCTACTAAACAAATACTTAAGCTCTGTGTGGTGTGGTGGTGAAGGTGCTTGACGGTAGCAGCGGAGACGTCTGCTGATATTAACCACCTCTCCTCATAAACTTTCTGGTTCAACCTTGACAACGAATGGACGTCTGGATACCTCCTCCGCCTAGGAGTCGCCGGATCACGTTCTCTTTCGCGATTTTTATTATGATATTGCCATTTGGCATTCATATACAACGGTCTGGATTGTTAGGAACGACTTGCGCACATATATCGTCTTGGGTCACAGGATAGTTGATAGATTTTGAACGTTTTCAGAGTGGTTCTCTCTGCGGGGTGACGGTGTCCGGCGCCGGTTTGGCCGAGAGGTTTCGGGACTTTGTGGGTCTTAGTGGGCTCCAGGTGTTGCCTCAAACGTGGAGGGCGGCTGCATTCTGCTCTGCCAGGGGGCACTATTATGACTTTTGCATAACTTCTGCGTTTTTTGGCACAGGGATGTATTTTGCGTTTTAGTTTGGGTCCGGGTATTTGCTTTTGCTACCCAGTGTTCTCTGCATACTCACCTAGTTGTATTTACGGGGGTTGAGATCTGGCTCTTTGGTCCCGCCTCTCAACTGTCACACAACTGGTGTACAGATTCCTGAGCCTACTGGGCTCTATCATATCTACTTTTGAAACTGTGTATGGAGTCAGCCTCCACCACATCACTGCTTAGTGCATTCCATCTGTTAACTACTCTGACACTGAAAAAGTTTTATCTAACTTCCAAGTGGCTCATTTGGGTACTCAGTTTCCACCTGTGTCCCCTTGTTTGTGTATCACCTGTGTTAAACAGTTTATCTTTGGCTACCCTGTCAATTCCTCTGAGAATTTTGTAGGTAGAGATCATGTCTCCCCTTACTCTTCTGTCTCCCATTGCCGTGAGTTGCATTTTACGTAGCCTTTCCTCGTAACTCATGCTGTGGGAAAACTTGACTCATGTAATTCATTTAAATTGATGCTAATTCGATAGCTGCGAAGGACCACCACTTTTTAAAGGAAAAGTGGAAACTGGGTAGAGCAAGTGGTTTACTATTAAATCCATGAACTAATGTCCTATGGATATTATTGATAATTATTATCTTTAATATATATTGACTGTAATTTATGAATCAAATCTTCTCACCCAAAATGGGGGGTTAAATGTCAAAAGACTATTGCATCCCTGACATCATTTGTGTGTGGTTCGATCACTGAAGTAAATGAGATAATTAATTGCAAAATTGTGCAATTATAATTAGAGGTGAATGGGCCTCAAGATACTACAATAGCCTAGTATTACTACCAATGGTTAGTAACGTGAATATATTGAGTAATGGTTAGACAAGAAATTTATTCTCATATGATGTTCATGAGGCTATCAAATTGTACTTGATTTCCTGAATCATGTAAATTAAATATTCTTAAAGAATTATTAGTTATCAACCGTTACTTAATGCAATAAACTAAATTGAACTGGATCAGCTGCTTAGCTGTGACAGTGAACGGAGATGCAGAGTCGTGATGGCATCGTCTGGTGCTTGCTGGACCACGTGAGCCCAGAATGTGGTGTGGGAAAATGATGAGACCACGGCCGCTCCAACGCACGCTGAAATACCAATTAAATGTACAAATTGTCTACACCAAGTAGATTGTGTCATCACTATTCAACAGAAGGGACAGAGCAAATTCCTTACGGACGTACTTGTCGTTTGGGAGGTCTTGTGGTGTAACGATGGACAAAGTGTATTATAAAATTAAAAGAGCTCGATTAATAATATGTGAACATTTAACCTGCTGGTTGTCCACCGATGCAATCCTTAGATTGCTACTGGAGCAGTTGCACACTCCTAGGCCGATTAATTGCAAGGGTCTATCGTAGAATTGTTGAAAATTCACCTCTCCCTGGACGCTCGTGTCGTACTTCTGATGGCGTCGCTAGTCCAGCTCCGACTCATGGCGTCGCTAGTCCAGCTCCGACTCATGGCGTCGCTAGTCCAGCTCCTACTCAAGGCGTCGCTAGTCCAGCTCCGACTCATGGCGTCGCTAGTCCAGCTCCGACTCATGGCGTCGCTAGTCCAGCTCCGACTCATGGCGTCGCCACGCTTCCGTCTCCCTCAACCCTCTCTCACGCATTCGCAATAGAATTTTGTAAGGTCGGAAAATTCTTTTCCGTGTAATTACTTTACGTAATTCGTTAATAAGAATAGGGTTGCAATTGTAGGGAATTAAATAGAGAGAATTTCTATTTCCTCCCTGTCGTTTGGGTATAACAGATAAAACTATTATATAGTGATAATTTAAGTTAATAACTCGTGGTTATTAAATCACTAGTCGTAATATTATCAGAGATTAATTCGTATAAAGAATACTGATAAAAGTTGAGAATATTGTTCAATTCCCTAACATTTTGATAATAATTATGTCCTGCTGGACATTATCTGACGCAATATACCTCTCGATGTGGTGAGAATTTAAGCAAATGACGCACAGATAGAGAAATATTAATTTATATTAGTACTACAGTAAGTAGGGTTTATAATTACTATAGTTATTACAATAATGATATATTGTAATACAAGAAATGATGTATTAGTGTTGGAAACTTTCCAACACATGCCTCTTAGTTCTGGGACTAGCCCAGTGGAATACCTCTGAACTTTTTTCAGCATCGTCTTGTGCTGACAAGGTACGGGCTCCATGCTGGGCCGCATACTCCAGGATTGGTCTTACATATGTGGTATACAAGGTTCGGAATAATTCCTTACACAGGTTCCTAAAGGCAGTTCTTATGTTAGCCAGCCTTGCATACGCTGCAGATGTTACTCTTATGTGGCATTCAGGA